TCTTTCTCCATCCATGTCTCTAACTGTGTATCTGTCCACTTCTGGATATGTCTTTCTACATCCATGTCTCTAACTGTGTATCTGTCCACTTATGGGTATGTCTTTCTCCATCCATGTCTCTAACTGTGTATCTGTCCACTTATGGGTATGTCTTTCTCCATCCATGTCTCTAACTGTGTATCTGTCCACTTATGGGTATGTCTCTAACTTTGAGTATGTATCTCACTCAATGTATGTCTCTCTCCGTGTATGTCTCTAATGCCGTGTATGTCTCTGCTGCAGTGCATATCTCCAACACGATGTATGTCTTTCTCCGTGTATGTCTCTAATGCCGTGTAAGTCTCTGCTGCAGTGCATATCTCCAACACGATGTATGTCTTTCTCCGTGTATGCATACCAAGCTGTCAATGTCTCTAATATATTTTTCTCTCTTGTATGTCTCTAATTCCATGTGTGAGTCTCTCTCTGTGTGTAGGTCTCTAACTCCATTTATGTCTTTCGCAATGCATGTCTCTCTCCGTGTTTGTCTCTAATGCCATGTATGTCTTTCTCTGTGTGTGTTTCTAATGCCATGTATGTCTTTCTCTGTGTATGTCTCTAATGCCATGTATGTCTTTCTCTGTGTATGTTTCTAATGCCATGTATGTCTTTCTCTGTGTATGTCTCTAATGCCATATATGTCTTTCTCTGTGTATGTCTCTAATGCCATGTATGTCTTTCTCTGTGTAGGTCTCTAATGCCATATATGTCTTTCTCTGTGTATGTCTCTAATGCCATGTATGTCTTTCTCTGTGTATGTCTCTAATGCCATGTATGTCTTTCTCTGTGTATGTCTCTAATGCCATGTATGTCTTTCTCTGTGTATGTCTCTAATGCCATGTATGTCTTTCTCTGTGTATGTCTCTAATGCCATATATGTCTTTCTCTGTGTATGTTTCTAATGCCATGTATGTCTTTCTCTGTGTATGTCTCTAATGCCATATATGTCTTTCTCTGTGTATGTCTCTAATGCCATGTATGTCTTTCTCTGTGTATGTCTCTAATGCCATGTATGTCTTTCTCTGTGTATGTTTCTAATGCCATGTATGTCTTTCTCTGTGTATGTTTCTAATGCCATGTATGTCTTTTTCTGTGTATGTCTCTAAAGCCATGTATGTCTTTCTCTGTTTATGTCTCTAAAGCCATGTATGTCTCTAAAGCCATGTATGTCTTTCTCTGTGTATGTCTCTAATTCCATGTATATCTTTCTCTGTGTATGTTTCTAATGCCATGTATGTCTTTCTCTGTGTATGTCTCTAATGCCATATATGTCTTTCTCTGTGTATGTCTCTAATGCCATGTATGTCTTTCTCTGTGTATGTCTCTAATGCCATATATGTCTTTCTCTGTGTATGTCTCTAATGCCATGTATGTCTTTCTCTGTGTATGTTTCTAATGCCATGTATGTCTTTCTCTGTGTATGTTTCTAATGCCATGTATGTCTTTTTCTGTGTATGTCTCTAAAGCCATGTATGTCTCTAAAGCCATGTATGTCTTTCTCTGTGTATGTCTCTAATTCCATGTATGTCTTTCTCTGTGTATGTTTCTAATGCCATGTATGTCTTTCTCTGTGTATGTCTCTAATGCCATGTATGTCTCTAAAGCCATGTATGTCTTTCTCTGTTTATGTCTCTAAAGCCATGTATGTCTTTCTCTGTGTATGTCTCTAGTGTCATGTATGTCTCTAATGCCATGTATGTCTCTAATACCATGTATGTCTCTAACACCATGTATGTCTCTAACACCATGTATGTCTCTAATACCATGTATGTCTCTAACACCATGTATGTCTCTAACACCATGTATGTCTCTAACACCATGTATGTCTCTAACGCCATGTATGTCTCTAACACCATGTATGTCTCTAATACCATGTATGTCTCTAACACCATGTATGTCTCTAACACCATGTATGTCTCTAACACTATGTATGTCTCTAATACCATGTATGTCTCTAATGCCATGTATGTCTCTAGTGCCATGTATGTCTCTAACGCCATGTATGTCTCTAACACCATGTATGTCTCTAATGCCATGTATGTCTCTAATGCCATGTATGTCTCTAATGCCATGTATGTCTCTAACAACATGTATGTCTCTTATGCCATGTATGTCTCTAATGCCATGTATGTCTCTAATGCCATGTATGTCTCTAATGCCATGTATGTCTCTAAAACCATGTATGTCTCTAACAACATGTATGTCTCTGTTAGCGCAGTTGATAGAAGACTCGCTTTCAAATTCAGCTGCAACTCGCTGCAGCCCACGGCCAGTGTTCGAAACTGGGCAGTTCATTGGGGTTTACCCAGTCTCTAGGTAATGGGTACCAGAGTTAACACACTGGGGTAAATGGTGGAATGTCGCTGTAGCTACAGAGTTACGTGCGCACAGCGACACAGGCGGACAATTCTTATCAGCTGTCATGGGAACAATTCTATTGACCACAAAGAGAAGGGGGAGGCTTTCCTGAAGAAGTTCATTTCAGAGACAGACCGCAATGATACAGACAACAGAGATGCAGTTAGAGAGGATCTGTCAAACATTATGAAGACATCATACAGGTGGAAAATGTGAACCATTTTCTGAAAAGGGTCACAGCCTCAGATATTCCATCCATCCATCGCTTGCCAGGGAAAAGGCGAGACGGACATATAACCAGATTACGACTGGCACCATCAGTATTGGAACTCTGTGCTGGCTGCTGAAGATGAGGGGGAGCACAGGAATGCTCCGAGTGCCGTGATGTCAATTTTTGACTCAACTCCATCGCTTGCATGAGGGAACCCCTAGATCTATTTCCTTCATGTCTTAGTTATAAAGCTCTTTGTATCTTCATGACAGGTGTATTAGTATCAGCATTGTCCTGTGCTGGTCTTGACCTATATCTGAACCATTTGCTGTCTCTTGATGTAATTTATCAAACCTCTTCTTTAAATGTTCACTCTACACCAAACACAGTATAAGTCCAATAAGTATAATTTTCATTTCTTTTATTTTAATTCTACCTAAGCTGGGCTAATATGAATTTCTACAGTCTGTGGTGCTATTTCAATGGTTTGAGATTTATGCCCGTATTTCATAGTTGTGGTTTCAAGCTGTATGACAAACATGGCTAATGACAAGACCTTTTTGGGGTGTCTAGCTAGTCATGAATCTTAGTACATCTGTTCCTGTAGCAAGGCGCTATCATTATTTGGAGGTGATCATGGTGTGGAGGGGACATATTTGATTCCTGTCAAGGTAATTATAGCTTTCCATTTTTATGCTATTTAATGTGTCCTCCTATCTTTAACTTCTTTCTCTGAGTGCCGATCAATATATGTCTATTTGTTTATTATATATACAAATGTAATTTAGCACTGGTTCTGTGTCCATTTATGTCCTGATATTCTCAGTTTTAATTGTATCTCTTGTTACATTTAGGATCACTGCAGACATTTCAATTCTGTTGTTTTTTATTCTTTCTTTTGTTGCTAATATCAAGGTTTTATTTGATTTGATTTTGATTTGATTTGAACAACACGTCAACATTATGGCACATGGGTAGTAATCCATAAGTGCTCCGTTCTACTTCTTACTGAAGTCTGAGTCTGAAAAATCTCAGCGCAGTGTGCGAGCTCTGTAGCACCGGCCAGGTGCTGGAAACACCCTGGATAGACCTTTAACTCCAAACGTAATTGTCTGCCAAGGTTTGCCAGTGGTAGCCAAATCTTGGTTTTAAAAAAAATACATACTGTAATGAATAGTGCCCTATTACTAATACTGGCATATATCAAAGAGCAAGTTGTGACCAGCAGTATTCTCAGAAATGATACTAGATGTAGCCTGGATAGAATCACCATTATAAAGATGTGATACTAATTATGTTAGTTTGAAAACGTTTGGTAGATAGTTACTGTTACCTTGCACTGCATCTATTGATGAATTGGTGTTAAATTAGCATATGGCTCTCGTGCTCGGTCACATAAGGAACAAGTCACCAGCTGCAAGAACAACAATGACTAAAAACTACACAACCCATTAGTTCAAGTATGGAAACGCAAGAAGCTCCAACAGTGTTAAGGCAACTACATCCTTGTGGCACCATCCGCAGCCTTACTTTGACCTGTCGCCACAACTATCTGTCCTGTCCTTCTCTAATATTCTAACTGTTGAATGGTTTCTAGCTTTCTTTTTTTAATACAGTCTGTACAGTATATTGCTGGTTTTCACTTTTTTATGTCTAAAACCTCCCCAGTAATCATAGTTTTGAAAGATCTCTGATCTTGACGTGTGACCACACCAGTTAAGTTTGTTTTTGTAACAGCTGTAAAAAAAAACTACTGCATGAAGTTTATTTGTGATTTTGTAAGGACACAAGCACATGTGCATTCAAACGATATCAGTCAGAGAACAAGCTATGGAGCCAATATGCTAAATGTGTTTCTAAGAATTATCAAATACCTTTCCCAAGAAAAAATCATTTGAACTGTTATGGTTCTTTCTCATTTATTATTATAAAGTAATCTTATAACACCAGACATACTAATTTACAACTAAGCATTTTCCATTTCTCAACTTTCCACACTGTTTAATTATTTTGTGGAACTCTTTGTCTGTCACACATCAACAATAGCTAAATTACATTTGAAGACTGTAAAACAATAGCTAAATCACATACAAACACTGTTTGCGAGGAAGGAGAGAAAGTTAAAGGGAGGGCACAGGATCAGTTTCCACGCGCTGAGACATACTGGGTATACGTGGTAATTAATCAGAAATTAAGTGACCTATTTCTACAACTGGAGACAGACTGGTCACATGGTGCTAGCCCCATTGGTTTACAGACCAATCACAAATCACTGGATGATGTGGTCAGTTTAACTCATGGCCATTTACTTCCCAGAAGTGACCTGGTGCACATTTACTTCCCAGAAGAGACCTGGTTCACATTTACTTCCCAGAAGTGACCTGCTGCATATTTACTTCCCAGAAGTGACCTGGTGCACATTTACTTCCCAGAAGTGACCTGGTGCACATTTACTTCCCAGAAATGACCTGGTGCACATTTACTTCCCAGAAGTGACCTGGTGCACATTAACTTCCCAGAAGTGACCTGGTGCACATTTACTTCCCAGAAGTGACCTGGTGCACATTTACTTCCCAGAAGTGACCTGGTGCACATTTTCAGCTGGGCTGACTTGGGAGTCTGGCTCCATTTTTTTAATGAACATTCTTTGACATAAATATAATTTAGAACAATTTTGATTGCATATATTTTTCTCCGATTGTAACATAATAATAAATAACTGAAAAACACAGCAAAAATAAAAAATAAAGTACAATTTCTCATCTTCTACACAAAAAGCAGTGAATGTACTACTCTTATTTTAATCCTTTACTGTTAGATTAATCCTTTCACACAAAAAAAAACGCTGTGAATTCTCCCCCCCCCCCCCCCCCCCCAACGCTGTGACCCCCCCCCCCCCCCCCCCCCCCCAATCCTTTAAACAAAAAAAATTATAGGTACCTAATACATTTTTAAAAAATGGATTCATATACGTTTAAAAAAAAAAATTTCTAAATTTATTCAGGGAGTAATCCTTAAACATCAATGGAGTGAAGAGTTAAATGGAATACATTCCTTGGGGCCTAACAAGAAATGTACTGACTAACACATATTGTGACATCATCAGAATACTAAAACTAAAGAGCAAATTATGACCTCAAATGACTTTTAAACAAGCCATGTTGTTCACAAAAGTTCCACCTCAAAATGCTATTTTTAGTAAACATATTCATATCCTGACCTCTAAAACACTGTATCATTGCTAAGAGAATCCAACATTATTAATTAGAACTTCTTGGGGACAACTCTCTAGAGGTGGATCTGGTAAGGGGCATTTACAGGCCTGAGAGTAGAGTTTGCAGCTTCTTGGGGTGACTGGGTTAAGAGATGTACCGGTTTTTATCTAACAGATTTTCTCTGCATGGAAAACAAAATTACATCTCAAATACATGATTCATATCTGTACAATGACAAGGGTAAGAATATCACCTAAACAAATAACCGCAAAATTCAAGGTTTTCATACTCAAGCCGCAAACAGGCATGATAATTCTGGACATGACGGATCAACAGCTGGCGATAATACATCTTATGGGAAGACCAAATTATGGCACAACCAGTCAAACCACAATCCATCTCAAATGTTTACCATGGAAAAAGAAAATAAGAGAACAATGCCAATGTTACATAAGGTAGATGAAAGATCTAAGATGAATCTAAAGCTGCCAGTGCACACAAACAAGATGTAATTGATAAGGTAGATGAAAGATCTGAGTCCAATCTAAAGCTGCCAGTGCACACAAACAAGATGTTATAGATAAGGTAGATGAAAGATCTGAGTCCAATCTAAAGTTGACAGTACACACAAACAAGATGTTATAGATAAGGTAGATGAAAGATCTGAGTCCAATCTAAAGTTGACAGTGCACACAAACAAGATGTTATAGATAAGGTAGATGAAAGATCTGAGTCCAATCTAAAGCTGCCAGTTTACACAAACAAGATGTCATAGATAAGGTAGATGAAAGATCTGAGTCCAATCTAAAGTTGACAGTGCACACAAACAAGATGTAATTGATAAGGTAGATGAAAGATCTGAGTCCAATCTAAAGTTGACAGTGCACACAAACAAGATGTTATAGATAAGGTAGATGAAAGAACTGAGTCCAATCTAAAGTTGACAGTGCACACAAACAAGGTGTTATTGACAAAGTAGATGAAAGATCTGAGTCCAATCTAAAGTTGACAGTGCACAAACAAGATGTTATGGATATCTGCACAGGCAGGTCAACTGTCCACAGACATGTATGACTAGCACTGACAGTGACAGGAAAAGATCTATGTACAACAAGCCCCAGACAAAAATAAGAACACAAGAAATGTTTTCCAAGTATGACTTCCGTCAGTTAAATACCTCTTTGAATTATTTTTGTACATAGACATGTTGGTAATCAGCTGCCTTGATGTAGTGGCTACCCACTCGCCTACAGATCCGAAAGTAGTGGGTTCAAATCCGCACAGAGCTGAATTTTTTTTTCATTCAAACATGACCTTGTCTCCCAGGTTGACCCAGTCTTAAAATAGGTACCAGATAAAGTCCATCTAGGGCACTTGGTCCTACAAATGTACGAGTCTAGCCTCCTCATAAACCCGAGGCACCCATTCCTTTGATTACTGTTTATTATCTTCTTCCAGTAAGAACATTTCTATGACCTAACCTCAAACAGTATGATCACCTTCTCCCAGTCAAGTAGTACCTGTTTCACATTACAGTCAACAGATATATTTCCGTATATTTCCAAAATACAAGAATTTCAATTCATGGACTGATACAAATAGCTCAGGAATTAGTTAGTACACATATAACACCAAAATACATCATATTTAACATTGATATAAGCATCTGCAACAAAACAAATAATATCAAATACTATTATATTGTATCAGGGTTGCCATTTCACTATTCTGATTGAAAGCAAAAACAAGTTTAAAAAAAAGCCAAACAACAGTAATTGAGTTCTCCATGCACACATCACATACAATTCTCCAGATCTGGGTCGTGCTTGTTAATCTCACTTAAATGACTAAACCTATGGCCTACACTTTGTCAGATTTCAGGAGCAAACATTTTTGATTAAATCTGGCAACTTGACTGGAAACAACAGTTCTGTACCAGTTAACACAACATCAATATGACTTTTCGTTCTGCTGTTTTAGTTAAGATGGGTATAAGAAATGCATCCAGAATCACTGATCAAAAGTGAGCTAGTGTGTTTTGTTTGGCCAAAACAATTCAGTGAAGAGAAAATATCTTCCACAGTATTACGGATAAAGCTGATTATTTCTAGTGCAGCAGCAGCAGCAGCCAAACTGCCCAGTGTTGAGTTAGAAACACTAAACCCAACCTGTTCACTGTCTGTAGGCAGTCTACTTTTCTCAATTAAAGCTTCTTTGAATACAAACCAGTGTTTACTGTTCTCCAGTACTGCTGACACTGTTTCTTGCAGTGTGTACAAGATTTCCAACTAAACATTTATGTTTTAACTGATTTAAAATTATATCAAAGTGAATTTGTTTAGATCCTGAGACATGGCTCCTAACCAAGGCCCTCATGTACTTTGAATGTTATTTAGCAGAGACAATACTCATTCTGACATTCGTTTAAGTTCTTGAAAAGTCTCAATTTTTGCAGGTGATGCATTTTTCACATCCAAAATTTTTTGTATTGTTTTTTGAAATATGAAGTTGCTTCAAAATTTCCAGGAACAGCCGACTCATGGTTGAATTAGTAGTTTTGACATGAAAGTTACAGTTTTATAAGCTGATAGTGACCTTGTCAAAACAGACATGGCAGACATTTACTATCCAACAGAAGTTACAGAAGTTTGTTTGTGCTTTGTACATGTACCATCATCGGAGTTGCAAATGTTTTGGCTGAGCAACGCACATCATCTTCTTCTTCTTCTTCTTCTTCAGGTTCACCAGCTGTAAACTGCAGGTGGAAGTTCTGGTTGTTAGTCCACCTCTAGAATTTAATCTTGTTCCAGGACATGAGTGTTGCGTGCACATCAGTTTTATAGTTCTGACTTATCTGTTTGCAGACTGTTGGTTCCTTTCCTCTTAGGCAAATACACTCCGACTTGGAAAGAAGTCCCCAAATAGTCGAATCTTAAGACATGTTTTTTGGGGAGGCACTCGGTGGGTCTATCATTTTATAAAAATTTACATTTTTTTTTTGATGTGTACAATAGGACCCCAGAACCCTCAAGGACAAAGCAATGCAAAAATGTCAAATTTTCTGTTTTGCTTGAGAATTCACCCTTAGAGAGAGTTCAGTTTGCTTGATAAAGCATACTCCACCCTAAGAAACTGAAATAAGAAAAGAAGCAGAGAAAATATAGAATCTTGGTCAGTTTTTATACAAATCCAGTGGGTTGAAACTTATAAATGCCGAGCAGACAGGCAAGCCCTCTAGTTATTGCATCACTGTGGCCTCCTAGTCACTATAAAGATGGATTTTTCATTCGTTATTTTACGCAAAGGTTATTTTTTTTTTTTAATATAAAGAGAATTAATCACTAAGTACAAACAAAAAATTTAAAAAAAGACTGCTTCGTTCCCTTTGACAAAAAAAAAAAGGTTTTGTTGACACAGCCACAGAAAGCAAAGTGATGTGATCACTACTACCATGACTGCACGTTATGCAATCTGCCGACGTTTATGCCAGGCTACCAGGATCACACCCCCTGTCATCACAACTGTAGATGCTCGTCGCCATATTGAAATTGCAACTTTTGCAATAAATGTAGTTGAAACCATAAAGTCCATTGATTTCTCTATTGTTATTGAAGGGAGACAATTCAGTAGTGCTTAAAGTAAATTTTCCACAAATAATTTGATAAGCTCCCTTGTCGAGGGTACTCAAATCTGGAGTCTGGGGAATACTCCTGATGTTAAGGTATATAGGCTTGATTGTTTTTAACAGGAAAGTGAAGGTGAAGATATTTCTCAAGTTTCATTACTGTAACTTTTGTATTCAACCTAGTGGTTAAACAGGCTTTCTTCGATTGGTACCGGGGGAATTTTTAAATGAACAGTGATATATTGCACTTTGTGTCACCAGATGATGTTAATCATTGAGTGTGGTTCCAGCAGTGTTGAACTTCACTCACTCACTCACCCACCCAAAGCTGTTATACAGATTAATTTGTCACTGCCCAAAGACGTCATCTCATCAAAAATGTATAGTAGCCAGAAAATCAGCTTTCTCTGGGAGATGTGGTAAAGGGTGAACGCAGAAGTAGAAGAAGAATTTAAAGAAAAGGTCATGAGGATCAAATCCCTAAACATTAGGTGACATAAATTCTTTAACAAAAAGTTTTTCCCAGTTCATTAAAAACACTATACTTCTTTTCATAAATGTCGGTTCAATAGGTAGAATATTTCAGGTTAATGTTAATCTGACAGCAAAAATATTTATGATATCAGTGTGGGAACATACATGTGTGTCTCAAACAAATTTTTTGACACCATCCACATAAACAAAACATCAGGAATTTGACCTTAAAAAAGGCCATCTGGCAACCCTATACTGTAGTAAAACATAGATAATGTGTGCTTCACACGGTTTTAATGAATCTTTCAAACAGACAGACAATATTCAATCACAATCAAGTTCATCCTGTCTTACACACTTTCTGTTTTGCTTTCTCTGATGCCAATAATGCTTCACCTGATCTGCTACTTATTCGGAACCCATTGCCAGCAGAGAATTGATGGTTGCATCCTTATTACCACAGTTGGCATCCATCACGGATTTGATGACCTCATCCTCCATGTTGGGGAACATATCTTTCACCTGCGAAGGAAATGTTCTTTGCGTCAAATGTGCTCAGATATTTGACAGAAACAGAAAACAATTACTGGAACACATGCTATGTGTGTATGTGCACAAACAATTAGTTTATACATTGCTAGAATACATTCATTTGTTTGGTATTTTTGTTTAAAAGATAATCCCACACTATCTGTGAAAATATTTTTCAGTAGACCATATAGAGTGATAACAAATATGGATGCTACAGATCAAGCTGACAATGGTTTAGGGGTTATAAGAAGGCAGCAGACAGACAGTCGTCAAAATGTGTGGTCCACACATTAAAAACAAACACAGGACAAGCATGTTTATGTTCTCTCATCAAATAGTGGGGGGTTTTTTTGGTAGAAGAAGAATGTCAACAAAAGTGAACAGAAAGCCACCAATACAAAACAATATAAAGAAAAGTTATAATTACAACCAAGGCAAACAAAAGCAACCACAATGCACCATGATTAAACACCCCAGACAACACTGAAACAGGGGGTTCAACTATTTGGGATCAATAACAAGAGTTAGAAAAAAAAAAAAACACAGTTATCATCATCTTGTAGGAGGTCCTGTTAGAATGTGACTCCAATTACGGCCACCAGCTTCCCTAGCCAATTACCTCGCTTCCTGTATTTTCACATTTCAAGGGTGTCTTCAATACTGTGATTCCACGTCCATGTGTATCTAAATTCTTACAGAATGTCAATATTTTTTTACTATTCTTCCATCGCATTCTTATAATTTTTTGGGTTAATATATTTATTTTAAAAACCCTGATATTTTTTTGGTTTTTATAAACAGTCCATGAGTCCCATCGATGTGTTTACAAAAGGAAGGCGCAGATGTTTTAACAATTTCAATTAGTTTGTTGGACATGACTTACAGACTTTCAAGGTCGTTGAACTTTTACACACTAAATCCTATGGCAGTCTTATTCTAACTGTGACCTAACAATTTCATCTGTTTTCAATTATAGAGTCCACTTATTCAAAGTTTGTGACATTTTAAATTTATTGATGGTTGATTGAAATTTCTAGCAGACAAACAGAACACAGAGACAGCATGCATCCTACGCAAAGATAACATTCCGCCAGATAAAGAACATTCTGTTTTTAACATTCCGTCAGATAAAGAACATTCTGTTTTTAACATTCCGTCAGATAAAGAACATTCTGTTTTTAACATTCCGCCAGATAAAGAACATTCTGTTTTTAACATTCCGTCAGATAAAGAACATTATTAACATCAAAGACCATGATTACCAAGATGGAAATAAAATAGAGAAAAAAAAAAGAGATATGGATTCTTCCCAAGAGAATCCAAAGCACTCTGAAGGACAAAGAAATAACACAGAAATAATCCCACAAAAAACATGTAGCGAGAGGGGACACAGCAGGGTTGGCATGAGACTAGCTGCCTTATCCCACAGAAACGTGACAATGCAAAGTCCAGCCAAAGATTTACAAGTCTCAATCAAAAATAGCAGTGCTAGAATAGTAACAGCAATATTTAGAATAAAAATTAAAATAATGAACCAACCTTGATGATGCAAGAAGCAACTATGACAGAATGCTGAGAAAGCAATAAGGCATCTGAACTGATTTCCTCTGTGTCAGAGGTCAGTGCAAGTATAAGATGAGTATGATAGTGATAATTCTTCATGACCGTACTTAATGAACTGTCGTTCAGGCCTGACAAACAGACGACTGTGTGAGTCATGATCGGCTGAGCTGTACACTTGGGAGACCTCTTGGGTAACCCGAAGTTGGGAGGTGAAGGTAGAACAAAACGCTTGCACATAGGAGATTTGGTGGAGAAGATTCTAAGACATTGTGAAGGCAACATCTAGTACTGGACAGTTAAAGTGTAGCGTGTTATCGACCGTGGTAGTGACTGATAGAGATGTGTTTTGGTTAGATTGTGTATGTAATTGTGTTGTATAGTGTTTGACAAAGTTAAGCTCTTGTAGCAATGTTTTGTGGTTAGATTTGTTGAATAAAATTATGTTAGATTAGCTTTCTAAGGTTGTTGGGTACTGGCTGTGGTGATATTTTCTGCCCTCGCACATTCCGCCACTTACTCCGGGCATGCCTAATGATCCTCGTGTCGGGGCCAGCGACAGTGGAAACAGCCTGTCGGGAGAAGTGTGGGTTTGTGTCCGGTGCTTATCTACAGGGACAGAAAGGTGTGAGTGGTGAGTTGTAAATCCATTACCACCTACATTTTGGATAGGAGCACCTACCCCCTCTTAGGATCTGATGATCTTTGTACATTAAAGATTGTTGTGTGTGCTCTAGAAGTGTCTGTGTTTGGTGTGTTTAGGGTAGATTTATCTGTCAGCAGCTTGTAACTCGAGCCATATGCCTCGCAGTAGTAAGAAGGTTGTTGACACACTGTTTAACAAGAAAAATCTGCAAACTAGCATAAGGGTAATGTTAGAATTTAAACTGGGAGAGCCTGCAAGTTGTAATGAGAATACACTGCTTTCAGATAAGCAGTCTGAATTATATATGCAATAATTGGGAGTTGGGGGGGGGGGGGGGCCTCACGCACACACACAAAGACAGAAGAAAGCCAGCAAAAAGTGTCTAATCATATCTGTAACAGTACTGCCGAGGCAATACAGAAGAAAATGCTCCCCTGAGTGAAAGAGTAGCAATAACAATATCTAAAGAGGCAGAGAAAGCACTAAAAGAGTGTGAAGCAGAGTCATGTAGCGCACTGAGATACCTGCTAGATCTTCCAGACATAAACAGCAGTCTTGAAATGCACGAAACATGTGCCTACCTCAAAATCACTGAGGTTTTAACACACCAACTGCACGATGAACTGAATACCATTTAAGGCAACAAACTTAAACAAGGCCAGCCTTGGTTAAGCCGGGCAGAGACAATACTTCAACGGGTGTTTTACAATACTTCAACGGGTGATTTACAATACTTCAACGGGTGATTTACAAAACTTCAGCGGGTGATTTACAACTTCAACGGGTTATTTCCCTTCAAGACATAAACCATTGAGAAGAATGGATACCCGTACCAAATGAATACAAGCAGTACTTTGTAGCAGTTATCACCCTGACAAGATATCACCCTGATCTGGCGCCACCAATGTTTCGGTGCTGCGTGGTCTCAAGAAATTGTGTCCGCCTCGAGTGCTAGAAGTTCCGGGTTCAATCCCCGGTAAGGGCTGGAATTTTTTCACGTGGACTTGGACTTCTAGTAATTCCCCCTGGTCTCTGAGTAGAGAGATCAGATGCCTTTGTGCATTGTTGCGCATGTAAAAAAATCCCTTGGCAGTTGGAAATCAAGAAGAGTAGCTGCCCGGGCAAAATTTGGAGTTAAAAATCTACCCAAAGTATTTCAGAATCCTCGCCGGTGCTACAGAGCCTGTGCGTTGTGCTGAACTTCTTCGGACTCAGACTTGAGTTAGAAGAAGAACAAAGCACTTATGGGTTACTACCCATGTGCCATGACGTTGATCCGTTGTTAAAAACCTCATGTTTTTGTGAAAAATAATCTTTCACTGAATAGGTGAAGAGATCGGAACACTTATGGTCATGTCTGTGTGCGATGAAGATCATCTTTAAATGAACAATAATAATAAGAGCAATATTCAGAACCATGATGAAAAGAAAGAAAAGCATCAATATGACAGAGCGCTACACAACAATTAATAAACAAAAAGGATAAATGAACTAGAGTGGAATTTAAGATTAAATGGTATGTAATCAGGACCAGATAACAAAAGTAAAGAAACTATACCAAAAAGAAATATGTAGTCTTAGTCCTAATAAGTACCAGGCCTTGCAATAGAGAGTACACAAGGTAAAGAAAAATGATGGCTGCAGGTTAAAAGCATTTCAAACAAATTACTTATAAAAGGCCTCAGAAAGTTTCCACTATAGTGCCCACTTCTGCATGAACTCCAGCAGGCAGAACAGTTTCAATAAAACAAACAGGTCACACAACACTGCTCCTTTATGGCGCATACTGCTGGTGTGTGTGTGTGTGGGGGGGGGGGGGGGGGGGGGTTCACTTCCCAATTCAACAGTTATATAAATAGTTCATGTGCACTGTGCACTACTTGTTACACCGTTTTAGATTTCTGTCACAATGTAAATGCCCACAAGCATACATGCCTAGAAGATCTAACATACTCAGGGGAAAAGAAGGGGTAAGGAGGGAGAGGGGGGGGACAGGGGACAATGATAAACTCTGCATCTGTTATAGTTTCTGTTTTTATTTAAGAAACCAAAATGAGGCCAACAATTAGAATTAATTCACAACATGTACCAAAGAAAATAGGCTTTATACTTTAAGGGGTCACTTAGGTTAGGTTAGTTGCGTATCCTTTACAGGACGTTGCAGAACCAACCCCAACAGCCCCTGGCTGTTGTGTGGTTTTTTTAGGCAAATTTACATCCAGTAGTTTGCCGTTGCTTTCTGGACAAGGGGTCACTACACAGCATTTGTTCCAATTTATGACAAAAACATCATTTTTTCAATGTGTTTTTTTTTTGTAAAGTTCGGCATTCGTAGAATAGATTACACACAAAATTTATGTCATTTGTAAACAATTTAGCATTGAAAAGTTAATACTAAAGACACCAACCCATGCACTTTTTTAAGATAAAAAAAAAATTCAAAAGTCAATTTTCTCAGATCTTTATATTTCTGTTTGTTGTGTGTGTGAAATCCTAAAATCTCAGCTATTAAAAAGACTATAAACATGAAATTTGGAATGGGTACTCCGTAAACAATACTATAGGGACTAGTAAACAATACTATAGGGGCTGGTCTATTTAAAAGTAGATTTTAGAAAGTTTATGTTTTTTAAAATTTGATTATTGTCTTATGATGATAGATTTTTTTGACTTTTTTCAATCAACCTACATTTTAAAATTCTACGAAAAATATTTAAAAACATGTTTAAATAAACTACACCTGTACCTCTAAATAAGATTAAAGGTCATGAATCCATCATATACTGTTGAATACGTATGTTTGTTTATAAAATTTTAGGATTCTATATATATATATATATATATATATATATATGTATATATTGTTTTGTTTTTTACAAGATGGCGGCTATTGCCATGACAACCATGTTTTTTTGTTACACTTAAAGTATACCGATGTAATAACATGTATCCCTACAAATGACCATTATGAAAATAACTGCTCTAACTGTATATAAAAAAATAAAAAAATTTTGTGAAGTGACCCCTTAACCCTTTCGCTGCTGCGCCCTCCGCCAGCCAACGTAACCACTGTGCTAAGCCAGGCGAGAGCTAATCTTTCCCCCTGTGCTGAATACCGTTTTTTCCTTCAAAAGCAGAAGACGCGCTTACGGCACGGGGTAAAAATTGTATACCTAAAATAAAAAATCGTTGAAGGCGTGTGGTTGAACTGCGCTGACAAGTCAGACGCGCTATTACTACGCCGTGAAAACTCATTAACAAAAAGAAAACACTACAAACTTACAAAGCAAACACAAAACACTTTAGTAAGCAAATACATGGTTTTTATTATTATTAATAATATCTTTGTGTGTGAAATATTTCAAAACAATGTCCGACACACAATGCCAAATCACATTCCTTGCACATGTATCTGGGTTTCCGTCGTTTTTTGCTTTTTGCGCATACCACACACTTTCTGGTTGGGAATTTTTTCTGCGATGTTACGGACTCTATTATTGAAGGGGAATGCCTTTGTACTAAACGAAGTGGCAGATCTTCACTTTTTTGTCCTCCTACACTTTTTCTCTTTTCCTTGCAATATTTATGTAGAATTTCTCTTACTAACATTAAGTGAAATTCGGCAACAGGTGTGTTTTTCCCCACAACAACTTTATATAATGAATGTGCACAGTACACCAACCACGCTTCACATAACGTGTAAAGCATCTAAATCCACCTGAACGCACGTGACAGGATGTTTAATTAATTATTTCTTTGGTTATCTGTTGCCGAAAATGCTAACAGCTTAAATTTAAAATTTGCATTTAAAATAATTAATTTAAAAAAAAAAAACGGCACGTAGGGGTTGAACGCTGGACCTTTCGATTGTAAGGCAGACGTGATACCAACTACACTAGAAATTCACATGAAACTATGAACTGAAAAAAAGACCAGTATTGTACACTTTAATAGACAAACACATTTATGTCAGTTGTATAGTATATAATTAACATTAATATTAATCATCACGTCAGTACGTGACTATATCTTTTTTTTTGTGTGATTATTTTGGATCCGTTTCAAATCCAGTCGATGTAGATAGCTAGGTCATATGGTCACTGGTCAGTCTTGTTCACAGCCAGAAGTACACGTGTCCGCCGGCGTGCCGCGAAGATAACCCAGCTCATATAACTCACACGTTTCAAAGTGATCCTTACTACTACTCCTTGAAAGAAACTCAATTAATTCTTCTTTATTTAAACAAATGTTCTTGTTATTTTGTATTTTTTAAAAAAAATTAGACTAACGCAAAACCAGAAATATATTTCAGGGCAAAAAAATTACCGATCACCGACAATGCTTCTATGGTAACAAAGAAACAGGATAACGTGAAATGCATCTAAATACGCCTAAACTCACTCGATAAGGGTTTTAATTGTATGTAAACGGGTCAGTTTGATCAGATTAAGTTAATGTGTATTGCTATTTCACCCCTAAGAATTACTGTCCTTAGCAATCTGTAAAAAAAATGTCCAGAACGAGATATCTCGTCCTTAGCAGTGAGGGCACAGAAAATTGCAGCCGAGTTATCTCGTCTTTAGCAGTCTGCCGGGCAGACGAGTTATCTCGTCCATAGCAGCGAAAGGGTTAAACAAAATAAGCAAAATGACCATCGCTGTCAACAATATTAGCCCAAAGGTGTAACAGACAGCCTGACCCCAACAAGCAAGCAAGCAAGTCTACTAAAGTTCTTCACAGGAGTTATAAATACAACTAACCTGTTTCAAGTCCTCCTCTGTGTACAATGGTCCCCGCGGCTGCTGAGGTGGGTATACTGGCACCTGACCTATAGGGCCCATTGCTAAACAGGCGGAGGCAATTACCATTATTTAATGTGTTTATCGTTAATATTAACAATTATACAATTATAGTTTCAGCGAAAGCCACAAGTTTAAGACCACTTAATAAATAAGTGAAATATCTAGGCTATAATGGAATATTGCATCAACTGCTTTTTTTTTTCTTCTTCAAGGCACACTACCTGCAATCATTGCAGAATATTGCATTATCCTTACATTATAGAGGGTTAAAACAGATTGTTGCTGTTTTCATTGCTATTTGTCTGTGTCAACAGCACTATCTTGATTTTATGTTCACACAAAAAATAAAAATAGACAGACACTACTTTTTATTCAAAGAGCTGAAATAGAAACAAAACATCAAGAAAAGTGCACTGAATGTGATATTTTTAAACTGGCTGTAGAAAAGTTCAAGTTCTGAATCAAGACTAAGGTTCAAAAGTGGAAGAACTACCAGAACTTTCCACCTAAATAGAAGATAATACTTGTGTCTGTCTACCAAACTGTTAAACACTGGGGTTATTATTACTGGGGGTAAGTTAAAGAGGGGGGGGGGGGGGGGGGGGTAAGAGCCTCTTGCTAACCCCCTTTAAACAGATATGCTTGAGCCAGTGGAACCACAGTGAAAGGGAAGAGAGGTTTAGTGGATACAAAGGAAGGCTCAAGTTAGAACCTCAACAATGTATATGCCACAGTAAACTGTTTTGTCTGAAGGGAAATACTGGGACTGGCTCAAGGAACTGAGTCATGAATATTTGAAGCCAAACAGCTCTTTGCTCAGATTTTGAGTTTTTTTTTTAACGGAGATTACTCTTGGGACTTCAAGAACTGAACTGGATATGTTCATAGTTCTGGTATGAGAACTTCACAATTTACAATGTCCGTTTTTATATCTGTGTCAAAGTTTCTCTTGAAAGATTGTGTGTGTGCGTGCGTGCGTACACACACACACAGAGAAAGAGAGAGGGTGGGCGAGTGCGCATGCATTTGTGCATGATCTCTTAAAAATTTATTATTCAGCAGATTATTTGGAAGCCTTCTGAGCTTATCAAACTGAGCAGTTTGTACTATCTACGAAATGAAAGAGGCTCCAAAACAACAGTTTTCTCAATTTATTTTACAGGGGTGCTTCTCACAACTACAAGTTTTATTTGCAAACCTATATTCTGAACATTGATTTTTTAAATAGTTTTTTTCACTGTTTCAGAACTTTTGATTGAGGTGATTTCAAGAACTAGCCTACCTACTCCAGTGTAGACTTGCCTTAATGCTTTTGTATTACAGTCCAATAAATACATTATGCCTGATACAAAGAGTTAAAAGTTTCTTAATGACTGGACAGATAAAGAATTATTAGGTTTTAACTTTTTGGTATCTGGAGTCTGGCTTTAACCCTAAACAATTAAGTTATTCTAATATAATAACAAGATAATATACCCTTCCTATTTGTTACAAAGCAATGGCTTGGACAGCAAAAAGTAGAACGGTTACTTACGTTGGGTTGGAGGGGGGTAGTACATGGGCATCATCACAGGAACAGGGGTGGGGTATGTGTAGCTGTAGACATTACTCTCCACAGGGGCCTGCAGAAGAGACATTGATAAATCTCGTTATCTGCTTGGCATTCAATGCAAGCTCAGTCAATCACTTTGCTGGAGGTAATAGTAACAGATAAGAAATGACAGGCTGTTCTGTACGGGTGTTAAGGAAAATGACATGAACTGAATAAATGCATGATAAGATGGGTTAGTCAGCTCACTTTCTCAGAGCCTAACCATCCCAGAAAAAGCAGGGTATCAAGATGGAAACAAGAATCTTATGGCAACAATCTTACTGCCAAACTTGGTCAGGAAAATATGTTCCTCTTTAATTGGAGTTTAGTTCTGTCCATTGTCATAATCTACATCTGTGATACAGTATTTTGTATTCATTTCTGGGTCATTTACTTTCATATCTCTATGACAAGCCCGATCATACATTCCTTGTGACGTACATCCAACTGTCTGTGTAATGTACTACGACATCTCTGCAGTATATGTTTTCAAATATCCCATGCCATGTAAGGTCATCCTGTGTGTCTACAAGGTCTCCAGTGGAAGCAAAGAACAGCAACACTGAAGCTAACCATGGAAGACAACTAAGGAGGTGTTAGATTGGCCCCAGAAACGGGACCCCAGAACCCACACAGTTATCATTTATTTCCACATATTTCTGTACTATAAAAGTGTTTGTATTCCTGTGTCATATTTCCATAATTTCTAAACTTATTTGCTTCGTGTACAGTTTTTTTTTTAAACCAGACAAAGATGCCTTTGTGTGAGAGGGGAAGAGGAAGATAATGAAAAAAAAAGAGAAGAAGAAGAGGCAGAAAAAAAAATAAGGACAGAAGCGATTGACTCTTTGAATGATAGTGTATGCAAAATGGGTTGGTAAAAGTTGTATCAGGGTCTATGCGTCACTAGAAGAAAAAAAACGAGAAGTGGATAGAACCGATTTACTCTTTCAGAAACTGTGTTTCTAATTTAACTCATACAGATATTGGCCAGCCCACCACAGACAGCAATGTTATAAAGACACAGCTGTAACAGATCCAGAGGTCGACCACGTAAAATATGGACTGTGGAAATACTGGAGTAAATGAAACGTACTGTAAACAAAGCAAACATAAGGGCTAATTCCAAAGATCTCTTTTTATACTGACACTGTGAGACATTCCAAGAGTAGAGAAAAGAGATGCAGAAGAGGATATTAACAAGAGTATTATAAATGCTAAGACATAAACCACATGAGAAAACCAATTATGAACATCCTGAATACTTATTTCGGCTTTTACCAAATCAAGACATATATAAATATAGTTAACATGATTGCAGATGGCTTGCTAATATACTCTTAAAATATTCACATATATTACACCTATTTACAGGAATACAATACATGACACTTACGGTAAGTGAGAGGACCAGATTAATAGAGCCTTCTTTGTCATCACCTTGTCTGCCGCTCAGCGGGAACCACTCATCAACAGTCTCACCGTTCATTACTGCATCTGGAATCCTAATATGAGCCCAGGCAATCCGGTCATCCATTGTAAAAGATCTCTGTCAACAAGAAATTCTCATGACTATTTTAGTTCTATTTTTATATATAATGACAATTAACAGAAATGGTGAAATCAATGAATGTTCTTCAGTTGCTAGGTAATGACACTTTTGGACTCCCAGTTCAGAATTAGGGGATGTAATGTTGTGAATTCCCGGGGAAATCCCAGAGAGTTCCCGATGGGGAGGAAAAGGTCGGAAGACCCGTGAGAGAAGAGAAAAACGGGATAAGTGGGTCTCGTGTGTCTCATGGTGAACGAAGTGAGGGACCCAAGAAAAGCATGAGATGTGAACGGAAGACATGAACCGAGAGACAGAAGTAAGACAGTTGAAGTTCGGCCCTGACTGAGAGAGGACGCATGAGTGGACACCTGAGAAGAATAAATGATTTGTGAAACGAATGTTATGTTTCGATAGGAGGACTGAATGTTTTTCCACACGTTGTAATGTCAGGTACCAGGGTTCGTGAAGGATAGATGGATGGTTCGAGAGACGCTGATGAATTCCTGTAGTGTGTGAGAAGTCTGACCAGGTTGCTAGATTCAGCCAAGCAAGACGAGCACGAGGAAGCGAGAATGTATGTATGCGATAACTGGCGATTCAACGAAGAAAAGCAAGCAACTCAATATTTGTTCATGCTGTGTCGTTTCAACTCACTGTTCGTCTGAAAGCAATGCAAATTAATACACGCCCCTAGCAGAGCATATTACAGGGGAAATGAGTTAGCAAACCAAGGTCTGAAGCAAATAATACTTTAAAGACTTTAATGGGCAGCCTATCTATCTACCATACTGCACAAAAAGTTTGAGTAAAACACTGGAAGACAATAATGTATATATAACAAAAAAACTCAAAGACTGACTTTGTCTTTACTGTTTATTCAACCCAACCCAAACAACAGTTGGACACTCTATAACTGTAGGGTGTTAAAATATAACTGTTTTATATGACTAAAAGAGGTGTCTCTGCTACTCTGCCAGCTCTTCTGAGACATTTGATTTCTGTTATGATTATAATTGTGTGCTTATTAGTTGTAGTAAGGGTCTTGACACTGGTAGCATACAATTGGCCACAAACATGTTTTTATTAGACTTGCCTTGATAGACAAAGATATCCTTCTATGTGTTACAAATTGTATTAGTTGCGCCAATACAAGATTTGCTTTTGCTTACTGGATGATGATTTCTCTATCCAGTCTTCCATCTGATGTCAAAACTGACCCTAGATATTTAAATTCACTTAGATACTCTTAATTTTAATATTTTTTAAAATTTACATCTGTTATAGGCATAATACCATCAGGTGTCAATGAACAAGAAAACTTCAATAAGCTGCTGTTTGGCAATAAAGGCCTGTACCATAATAAAAGTAAACAGTTACAGGACACAGAGAACACAAACCCTCGACATAAAATCAAAGACCAAAGTTTTAAATAAGTGCAAGAATTTAAATACTGGAGGAGCATCTTTACATACAATGGTAGACAAGACAGACAGATAGAAACAGAATCAAACAAGCCAACAATTACAAGTTGTCAACTTAATCTTGAATCACCCAGTTATCTCAACAGTGATATCAAGAAAGATCAGAAGTCAAATCTTTATAGCAACTTTAGTTATCAATATCAGACTTGGACATTATTGAGTGAAAACTAACCACTTATCTTCTTCTTCTTCGCGGTAAACTCTGGTGGAAAATTCTGGTTGGTCATCAACTTCTGGACTGCAGTCCTGTTCCAAAACCTGAGTGTTGCATGTGCACCCGTTTCACGGATCTGACTCATTTGTGTGCAGACTGCTGGTTCCTTGCCTCTCAGGCAGATGCACTCCAACTTCGAAGGAAGCTCCCAATAAGTCGACTCTTACAACATGCTTTTGGGTATGCAGTGGGTCTATTCTTGTTTTCCCTACAATAGGGCTCCGGAACCCACATGGGGAGAACCACTTATGATATAAGATGTTTGAGAAAGGCTGTAAACAGCCAGAAGAGACTGCGTGAAAAAATGAAGAGATTAAAACAACTCTCAGAACAAACCCCATGATTAAATTGCCTGAGAAAGAAAGACAGAAAGAGTCTGGCCACATGGTGAGAATCAACCCAACAAGCAGGAGTGTTTAACATGAAAATGGGAACACAAAGGTCTAAATAAAGACCTAGAAAAAAGATGCATTGAAGAAGTCACTGACAGCCTCAGACTCAGCATGACAGCATACCAAGACAGCATACCAAGACAACATACCAAGACAGCATACCAAGACACAGAGTGCACTCTATCTCAGCTACTGATTGTCTATTAAACTTTGATGTCTAAGTGTAAAATGCAGATATTGATCCTCTCCCACTTTTTCCCCCCAAAAAGTGTCTACATCCATTTAATATTTGATGTCCATCTCTCCACTTCATTGTAACCATTATATTTTATATTTAGACCAAACACTGTAGAAAAGGCTATGTCATGGAGCCTGAATTAACAACATACATATGATGTGCACACCCCCACCCCTCCCCCTTTTTATCAAACAAAATAAATGCATATACACATACACAATTATCCACCACCCTATCAACCACACTAAACATCCACAAACATACACATACAAGATTATCCACCAGCCTTCAACCACACAAAACATTCACAAACATACACATACAAAATTATCCACCAGCCTTCAACCACACTAAACATCCACATTTATGCATATTCAAAATTACCCACCAGACTTCAACCACACTAAACATTCACAAACATACACATTCAAAATTACCCACCAGCCTTCAACCACACTAAACATTCACAAACATACACATTCAAAATTACCCACCAGCCTTCAACCACACTAAACATTCACAAACATACACATTCAAAATTATCCACCAGCCTTCAACCACACTAAACATTCACAAACATACACATACAAGATTATCCACCACCCTGTCAGCCACACTAAACATTCACAAACATACACATTCAAAATTATCCACCAGCCTTCAACCACACTAAACATTCACAAACATACACATACAAAATTATCCACCACCCTGTCAACCACACTAATCATTCACAAACATACACATACAAGATTATCCACCAGCCTTCAACCACACAAAACATCCACAAACAATACCTCATCAAAAACTTCCAGATACAAGGAATCAACACCAATGGGCAGGTACCTGTAGACAAGAAAATGTTAATTTCTTACGTTTTTTAACAGCTTGTTTTATTGAAACTGGGCTCATACAAAAATAAGCAAATGAGTCTGCTGGTAAAAACCATACAAGTCCGTAATTAATCTATGATCTAGCAAAAAAGTGGTCATTTTGTTCTCAGTCTTCTGACTCTGCAGGGTTTTGTGTAATTGGTCTGGTAGTCTGCTAGTCTTAGTTTCAGCTTCATAGCAAACGGGTCACCCCATCTTTGCTCAGCTCCTGTGCCAACGAAAAACACACAGAATGTTTATCACAGTATTAGAATTGCAGTTCATCATTGATGGTAGCAGAAGTCGCCAACAGATCAGCAGTTGCCCACGCGATCAATTTAAATCACATACGGGCACCACAACACTGCACGACAGGCATCGCGCCATTTTCTGAATCTACAATTCACACCAACACGTTGGTCACAGTCGAAAAAACATTCCAAATGCAATCCGCAGCTCACAGGATCACGATATGCATTCAACTCAGAAGCTGGGCGACGAAACTATATCCAGTCTACAAATGGAGCAAAAATGCATCGGCCACCGTCCGGCAGAAGCAAAAAATGTGCCTCTGTTTCGAACAGTGCCGTTGCCTAACCCCCTGGAGGTGTCTCCACCTTTATATGATAAGGCAGTTTGTACTTCTCAATGACACTAGGATCCCAAGCCAGACAACACAGTGGGCCAAAAAACAGACCAACAGAGACACCTTTCATCCTGAAACAGATCAAGAACAGACATACAATCACTGAGCCACCAAGTGGAAAGTCAGCACCAATTACAGAAATCAATGGAGGCAGGTAATATCTGCAGCAATGAACCTACAGACTGACCAAAATATTTCAATTTTCTTTGTTTTTCATCATCCATTAATACTCTTTAATGATGTGTCCATCATCCATTAATACTCTTTAATGATGTGTCCATCATCCATTAATATCCTTTAATTTCTGTGTCCATCATCCATTAATATTCTTTAATGTTCTGTTTTCATCATCCATTAATACTCTTTAATGATGTGTCCATCATCCATTAATATCCTTTGATGTTCTGTGTCCATCATCCATTAATATTCTTTAATGATGTGTCCATCATCCATTAATGTTCTGTGTAAATCAACCATTAATATTCTGTAATTTTGTGTCCATTATCCAAAAATGTTCTGTGTTCATCAACCATTAATATCCTTTGATGTTCTGTGTCCATCATCCATTAATATCCTTTGATGTTTTGTGTCCATCATCCATTAATATCCTTTGATGTTCTGTGTCCATCACCCACCCTTTGTGGGGGAAAACAAGAATAGACTCACTGCCTCCCCAACAAGCATGCCATAATAGTTGACTAATTGGGGGATTCCTTCCAAGTCAGAGTGCATCTGCCTGAGAGGCAAGAAACCAGCAGTCTGCACACCCCATAAAAAAGTCAAATCTTCCAAATGGATGTGCATGCAACACTCAGGTTCTGGAACAAGACTAGGTCCAGAGGTGGACGAACAACCAGAGCTTTCCGCTGGAGTTTACAGCCGGTAAACACGAAGAAGATGACAAAGATCAACTTGGCCATTTTCTCACCAGTCATAAACAGAACCTATGCGTCATAGGATGATAAGCACATGTTCTTTTATTCACTGGTCAGTACATATCACTTATGATTATGATACAATCATGCTCAACACATGCAATTATTAGCGGTATAGCACAAACAGGTTTCAAATGAATGTGCTTTTTTTTTTAAAACTACCCACCCCCAAACTCTGTCTTTCTCTCTCTCTCTCTCTCTCTGCAGTTATCTATGGCTCCTACACCTAATATAAACCACCTTTTCTTCTGCATATATCCTTTAACATTCAACTATCTTGCTGTGTGATCCAGTTCTTTACATCACTATACACTTCTGCTTAGTCTAATATCTTCTTAATACTTGTGTCAGCAGGAGTTAGTCTGACAAGGAAATGTCTTTGATTGTAAACAAAGCACCTGGAATTTCCCAGAAGCTCATCAACTTTATACAGGCAATATATAATAGCATACAATTTAATTAAATAATGAGAGACTAACAGATGCATTCACAATTATACAAGAAATGAGATGAAGAAGCATTTTGTCCTCATTCATCTTTTTAATGGAATCAGGAAAACTAACTTATGTACTATAACTGTTCCATGTCTGCAGAAGTCTGTAGAATATACAGTTATTCTTGTGTTTCTAAAAAATTATTACATTATTATTCTCCTTTTCTGACTACCATTATTCAAGCAAACATCTAAAAAGAAAAAAAAAAGTCACCTGCCACTGTTGATTCTAATGGTTGTTCCATAAATTATTCTAATATTAAAGCTCTTAAATGTGAACAAAACATCAGCATAAACATACATCAGCAATACAATGTAGCCAACTCACGTGCTGACAGTCTTGTTCCATCTGGGTGTTTTGGCCCCATTGTAAGCTGTTGGAGTTTCAAATACAGTGTGTCCAACCCTTACTCTACAATAGGGATCCATTTTTGTCAACCCATAGTTTTTGGTAAGTTTAGCCTAAATCAGACAAGACAAGCAAGATATATCTAGTCCACAATGAACAACTGTCCACATTCTTTCATAAATACAAGAGACATATGGTTAGAGATCACTGTTTCAAAAATCAAGAAAATTAACAGGCAACATGAAAGCTTACTGACAGCTTTGAGAATAACCATTATATTTGGTCATAAAAGAGGTTACTCTTCATCATCAAGTCTCTCTTTCTCTAGCCAATTCTCCAGCCTTATGTGCTTTCATTGTCAATGTATCCTCAATGTCTTGTGTCCATGTTTGTGGAGGTCTGCCCCTGTCTCATTGTCAATGAATCCTCAATGTCTTGGGTCCATGTTTGTGGAGGTCTGCCCCTGTCTCATTGACAATGTATCCTCAATGTCTTGTGTCCACGTTTGTGGAGGTCTGCCCCTGTCTCATTGTCAATGTATCCTCAATGTCTTATGTCCATGTTTGTGGAGGTCTGCTCCTGTCTCATTGTCAATGTATCCTCAATGTCTTGTGTCCATGTTTGTGGAGGTCTGCCCCTGTCTCATTGTCAATGCATCCTCAATGTCTTATGTCCATGTTTGTGGAGGTCTGCTCCTGTCTCATTGTCAATGTATCCTCAATGTCTTGTGTCCATGTTTGTGGAGGTCTGCCCCTGTCTCATTGTCAATGCATCCTCAATGTCTTGTGTCCATGTTTGTGAAGGTCTGCCCCTGTCTCACTGTCAATGCATCCTCAATGTCTTGTGTCCTTGTTTGTGGAGGTCTGCCCCTGTCTCATTGTCAAAGCATTCTCAATGTCTTGTGTCCACGTTTGTGGAGGTCTGCCCCTGTCTCATTGTCAAAGCATCCTCAATGTCTTGTGTCCACGTTTGTGGAGGTCTGCCCCTGTCTCATTGTCAATGTATCCTCAATGTCTTGTGTCCATGTTTGTGGAGGTCTGCCCCTGTCTCATTGTCAATGTATCCTCAATGTCTTGTGTCCATGTTTGTGGAGGTCTGCCCCTGTCTCATTGTCAATGCATCCTCAATGTCTTGTGTCCATGTTTGTGGAGGTCTGCCCCTGTCTCACTGTCAGGAAATGCACCCCCCGCCACTGTTCTCTCCTGGCCACCATCATGTCTAACAAGGCTCTCAGCTTCCAGACAGGATGCTGCTTATGAATTCTTCTTGCTGCTCAAAACATGCAGGATGTTGATGTTTTTCCTCTTCCTAGTCCATGGTATTCTAAGAATCTTTCTGTAGCATTTCAGTTCAACTGCTCCAATTTGTTCTTCAATGATTTGGTAAGAGTCTGTAGTCCATGACTCACATCCATAAAATGCTTTGGGAGAGTTGCATGATGATTGACCTCCAAATGCTAACTTCAACTTGCTTGAAAGTGCTGTGCTATAAGTTTTTCATGCTCTAAATTAAGTCTTTTTTCTTCTTTTGTTTACTACTATGCCTAAATATTCCAAAGCTATTAAATTGTCGATCTCTTCATTATTAAATTTAATAAGTGGATGGCGTGCTGTAGTTATTGAGGACGTTATTTTGGCGGCGGTTTTTTTCTTCAAATTCAGAAAAAAGATTCTTGTATTTTTGCTGTGCTTTTTGACTGTCAGAATGAATTCTTCTAAGCCATGTGCACTGTTAGAGAACTGTGTCATCTGCATATCTGAATTCTGAGAAAGGTTTGTCTCCAATTGTGATTTGATTGAAGGTGTCACAGGCTCATCAGTAATTGCATTTCTCATAATATTTTCAGCATATATGTTGAAAAATGTTGAAGAGACAATGCAGCTCTGTCACACTCCTCGCTGCACCTCAAACCAGTCCAATATTTCACCAACTGCTCTGACTGCTGCTTGTTGTTCATGGTAAAGAGATTCCATTAGACGTACCAAATGTACATTGTTACTTTTAGGAATTTTAAATAATACCAAACTGAGTGGAAGCCATGGTAGTGCAGTCACAAGCAGGCTTGAAAGCTGGTCCAGTCCTTAAAGGCTCAAATCCTTGTCAATGCATATGTTTGTCCAGTCCTTATAGGCTCAAATCCTTGTCAACGCATATGTTTGTCCAGTCCTTATAGGCTCAAATCCTTGTCAACGCATATGTTTGTCCAGTCCTTATAGGCTGAAATCCTTGTCAATGCATATGTCTGTCCAGTCCTTATAGGCTCAAATCCTTGTCAACGCATATGTTTGTCCAGTCCTTATAGGCTGAAATCCTTGTCAACGCATATGTTTGTCCAGTCCTTATAGGCTGAAATCCTTGTCAACGCATATGTTTGTCCAGTCCTTATAGGGTGAAATCCTTGTCAACGGCATATGTTTGTCCAGTCCTTATAGGCTCAAATTCTTGTCAACGCATATGTTTGTCCAGTCATTATAGGCTCAAATCCTTGTCAACGCATATGTTTGTCCAGTCATTATAGGCTCAAATCCTTGTCAATGCATATGTTTGTCCAGTCATTATAGGCTCAAATCCTTGTCAACGCATATGTTTAACAACTGAACGGGACTCCCAGGCTGCCTCAGTGTTGGTGCCAGGAAATTTTTTGGAGAAAAAGGGAAGCTGATAACATACTTGCTCTAAAACAAATCATCGAAAAGATAACAGAACACAATGAATGCAGCCTTCATAGATCAAGAAAAGGCTTTCAAAAGAGTACAAAGAGAATTACTTTGGAAAGTCTTGGAAAATCATAGATAAAAAGGAACATTGTAAGACGCACAAGAGGCATTTATAAAGACAATAAAAGTGCTGGCAGAATAAGAGCTGGCCTTACAGACTGGTTTCCAGTAACATCAGGAGTAAGACAAGAATGTGTTTTAACATCTTTGCCTTTTCAACATATTCATGGACAATATCAATAAAATATTTCCAGCTGGGGATAAACATGAAAATTTGAATGATTCTTCTTCTTGTGTTCGCTTTCTGATTTACACCGACAGACAGGTTCTTGTGATAAACTTGACTGTTTTAATGAGTTCATTTTTAGTCCCATACAACTTTGTGTACAGTGGTGACTCACTGGGCCAGTATTCCTTTCTTAATGAAGGGACAGTCTTGCAGGACTGTTCTGTAGTCTGCACACATAGCCCACAAGGGCAAAAAGGTGAACTACTTAGACGAAGCCTGTGCATATGCTGGTTAAGTTTGTTATGTCCTGTCCTGAGACGTAGGACAATGACCTGCCCATGCCGGTCAAGTAAGTGGTAGTCATCTCTGGCCAGACTCTGTAAGTTAATCAGCTACAGAACCAAATAAACCAACTAAACGACAGCTGCATCAAACATACGCTGGGGGGAAAACCCAGAAGTCATGTGTATAGTAAGAGAACATCAATAAAAATCAACATAAAGATAGAAGACCAAGGTTTCAAACAGGTTCAACACTTTAAAATACTTGGGGAACATCTTTACTTATGATGGCAGAATAGACAGAGAGACTGAAACAGGAATCCAACAGCAAGCAAAATCACACATCAACTAACTACAACTCTGAAACACGGGCTAAATAGATAAAGAGATAAATAGACAAATTATTAATACAATCTTCATACCAACCTTGTGCCATTAGTGTCAGACTTAGACACTGACTAAAGAAAATGAAAGAAAACCACATGCATAATTAAATGCTTGAGAAAAGTCATGAACAAGACTATAAGAGATCATGTAAGAAATGAAGAAATTACAAAACATATTGGAACAACACCTAAAAAAAACCTTAAAAAAACAAAGACTGAAATGGTTTGGCCATTTAATGAGAATAAATCCAATGAGGCAACAAGAGCGTACAACATGAAAGTAGAAACACCAAAAAGTAGGGGATGACCAAAAAGAAGATGGATTGAAGGAGTCATTGTTATCTTGAGACTCCACAACATCACAGCATACTAGGCAACTGTGCTTGCCATAACTTGGAAACTGATCATTTTGTAACCTGTGACCCCTACCGGCACAAAGCAGTAAATGTAAAAAGAAAGAATAAGAAAGAAAACACACTGACCACACCATCCATCGAGTGGCGACAGGTCTGCATAAATACTGAGCAGGCAAAATATGAAATTTTTAAAGCTGTGGAAGAGGGGAACAAAAATAATAAAGCACAGATAACACAAGCAAAATGGAAAACTGACCCAAAAAATGCAGATTTTAACAACAGCAAAACCAAAGTTAAAAATTGCCTTTAAAAATTACAAAACGCAAATAAATTAGGGGGAAGAAAAGAGTGGACAAAAGAAAATATTCAGATGGCCAAGCAGGAGAGGCCAGAGTAGCAGCAGAAGCAAAAGAAAACTTCAAAGAGCTTGAGAAATGGATTTTGTTTTAGAGAAAGATATCTGGTGGAAGATGCCAAAGAAAGGGAACATGGTGGAACACCATTTTTAGAAAAGAATAAGGTTATTGTCAGTCCCTTGGAAAATATTCAGCAAGACAATTCTGGAAAGAATAAGATATGCCACTAACACAACTAAGCAATGAACTGGCAGTCTTCAGCCAAACAGATCATAAGTTACCAGATGTCAAAAATCAAATGACCTCATGATATTTCTTCTTTGCTTTCACCAATGTTCACATAGAAAAGTTAAACATTTCTACACCTTCTGATGCAACTGTACTTAAAGCTGTATAACTGTTTATTACTTTCCTTTTTATGAAATCTAATAGTGAGAAGTCAATCAATGGCTAGACCACATCCATGTAGCACTGAGGACATGTTATTTTATCAGGAGAGTGAAGTTGAGTCAAGAATTGACATCACAGCACTTGGGGCATTCCCATGTGTGCTCCGTCCTATTTTCAGCAGCCAGCGAAGAGTTCCAATACTAGTGGTACCAGTGACATCTGGTTAAAAGTCCATCTTGCCTTTCCTCTGAGTTTAGTGAGCCAGCCAGACCCTCTGGTTACACCCAGGGGCCTCATTCTCTCAGGAATTGTCAGGAGAGAACTAGGAGAAAAAGCTCTGTCCCTCCTTTTCTTTCTCTGTAAACAAAAATAATGGAACAGATACAGAATATTCTAGACTTCATTGAAATCAGCTGACTGCAACTGAGTGCTCATAGTTAATATGTTGTCTACATTAGCAGACCCTTACCTGTACAACTGAAATGCTGAGTCTGCCTGCAAAGTTGGATGCAGACACGACATTGACACCAGCCTGTTGTTGTGCTTGTAAGATTCTTGCAATGCGCTCATCTTCTTGCTCTTGTGTCAAGGGAATTCCAGTGCGCAGAAAATCAGATGGTAATTCACCAACCATTACCTAAGGGCGTAAAGACAAATATAAGTTACATAAGCAACAACAACAAACAAACACAAATGTCAAGAGTCAAGAAGCTAATAACTCAAATACTGATGCACTGATAATAAATAACCTTAGATCAGATGCTCAGAAAAAAAGAATGAATGAGTGAATGAATAAAGAATTGACATCAATGCACTTGGAACATTCCCATATAAGCCTCTTCAGTAGCCAATTAACAGTCACCATGATGGTGGCGCCAGCGGCATGCTGATTTAAACTTGTCTACCACACATACATTTCTGATAGTTACTTTTGCCTGTGCCATCCATGAGCCATCCTTCTTCAGCCTGTGCCTCTTGTTTTGCCTATCACAACAAGGAGAAGGCGTTCCCTGTCTGCTGGACTTTCAGTTACATTTTTACCTGTAGCACTTTGTATCTTTCGCATACAGAGGGCAAGACAAGTATGCTGTAGACCGACAACTGGTGTATCCCATGTACAGTCCAGAATGACTTGCAGAGCTTCAGTCGGCCAGCATTTCAGCTTCTCTAGTTTGCTGTGGGATAATGTGAGCAGTCCCAGACCATCACTGAAATAATCAGCTGCTGGTATTGTAGCCCCTTTCTGATTTTTAACACCACCTCTTCAACATAATAAAACTGAAAGACAGGCATCTATCAAAATCATATTTGAGTAATCCTTTACTGCTATTAACTATGATATTCAGGACCTCACTGCCATACATTTTTTTTTAAAATTTAATGAACACCACAGTACTATTGCTTTTTCTTGGTTGATAATGGAATTCGATTTCTCACCTCACTCACATACCCAATCCGAATAAAATATCTAATAATTTATCAATTCAATGTCAATTTATGCAGCAGTGTACAAAAGTAGAAATTCACATACACTACACAGTCACACTACACAGTCACACTACACAGTCACACTACACAGGCACACTACACAGTCACACTACACAGTCACACTACACAGTCACACTACACAGTCACACTACAAAGGCACACTACACAGTCACACTACACAGTCACACTACACAGGCACACTACACAGTCACACTACACAGTCACACTACACAGTCACACTACACAGTCACACTACACAGGCACACTACACAGGCACACTACACAGTCACACTACACAGGCACACTACACAGTCACACTACACAGTCACACTACACAGTCACACTACACAGTCACACTACACAGTCACACTACACAGTCACACTACACAGTCACACTACACAGGCACACTACACAGTCACACTACACAGTCACACTACACAGTCACACTACACAGTCACACTACACAGTCACACTACACAGTCACACTACACAGTCACACTAAGAGGACAGTGACCAGTGCCTCACACAGACACATTTTTCTCAACAGAACAAGTTTATATTTTTACAATACTGTCTCAACACCACAGCTATATGTGACACAAACTAAGAAAAAATGGGCCTAACAGGGAACTGATCACTGAATGTTGTGCTCAAAAGCCATACACTATCCACTAAATAAGCACAGTTGCCACTGTGATAGTATTATGGCTATATTATCCCAGATAAAGTTCACAATCACACATTTAGGTAATAATAAGAACAAACACTTAAAATGAGTTAGACTTATCAACCTGTTTGAATAGTTGTAATGCTTTCTTCTATCCTTCCTAATTATTTTAGTATGGTTGCATAGAAGGAATTAAATGGTTTGATTGAACCACTATGTAGAGCTTTGGGAGAGAACTAAGATAGCTACAGTGGACCAAGAGGTCAAGAAAAAAACACTGATGTTGGATAGAACACACATTGAAGAAACTGGAGAACAATATAACTAGAATGTCTTTGCACTGGAACCCACAGAGCATAGGAATTAAGGAAGACCAAAAAACACATGAAGAAGGGAGCTAGAGAGTGCTGTTAGAAAGATGGGGAGGAGATGGGGAGAGCTGCATGCAAAAGCAAAGGATAGAACGACTTGGCGTGAGCTGGCTGAGGGGGGTTAGAAAGGCAGAAGAAGAAGACTGTATGGATTTATTTGCTGGCTGAAAACAGCTACACAACATACTGGACATTAAGCAACAGTCATTAGACTGATACGATTTCATTCTTTTGGGACATGGCCGAGCAGCAACAATATTCCAAAAAGTTATTAACATACTGTCTCCAAACTTGGCACACATAGGAAAATGACACTGCAACAGATTGAACTAGACTAAATACAGCAGCTTGAGTACTTTATGAGTTTTTGCCATCAATGAATACCCTCAACCGTAATTTTTTTGGGAAACAAATTTTGTACCCCATAAATGAGCATTACTTTTAAACCATAGCGTTAAGTGAATATTCTTTAGTTCATAGATTTACATATAATGTGAAATTTGTGTGCAAATTTTCATTAAACCATGTTTATTCGTTTTTGAAATATCTCAGTAAATGCTGAGTAAAAATCTGGCTATTTTCCGCATAAAACATTAAATTTTTGATCAATTTCTGTGAAAATATGTTGATTTTAGCCACCAAAATAAATTTTCCTTCAATCTTTTAGTATGTACCTACAGAGAGCATTTTTTTCAGCAGATTTCATCAAATTCAATTTTGGGGTTTAACCTGTTCCTAAAGTATCATTAGCCAGCTTTGGTGACGTCAGCAGCATGGCCCGTCAGATGAAGCGGTCTTGATTTTCACGCTGACAGAAAAAAGGTCCATGACCTTACAAAGGACTGAACCCAAGTCTCCTGCATGAAAGCTTAGAGGTTAACTGCTTGGCCAGCTTCTCCTCTAACCAACATACAATACATTTTTTTTTTAAATTGTTAAAGGGGTCGGCTGTCATTTTTATTATACTTAGTGACTACCAATCGGATTTTACAGGTAAGAATAACCAGAAAACATTTGAAGCAAAATATAAACATTCACGTCATGGTTCTGCATAGCAGAATAACAGTAGGAGAGGAAAGAGGGAGGAAAGGAAAGCAAGGATTTGATACTACTAGTAAAACTAGTGGGAGTCACATGCCATATATGAATAAAAACTTGGACTGAAACAGGGGAACAATTCAGTAACTAATCAAATATAAACATTCATGTTGCGGTTCCTGCATAGAATCAAGAGAATTACCCGACATGACAGGATCACCAATGTGGAACTCTTGGAGAGAACTAAACAAATTCTATGGAATTTGTTCAATCAAGTGGCATTTTGAAAAATATCTGCCCTTGTACAGGAACCCACAAGATCAAAGGAACAAAATAAAACACACGGAAATTAGAATTAAAGAAGACAAAGAGGACATAGGTTAGTTGTATATAAAGGCATGGGGTAGGATCATTTAGCACAAGATGTTTAAGGACTATGATCGATTGGGGGATATATGGAACAAGATGACAATGAGAAGGAATTGGTGATAGAGAAGGACAGGAAGGAAGACAAAGATGAGGACGTGGTGGTGGTGGCAAAGAAGGAGAAGGTGGTGGTGGCAAAGGAGGAGGAGGTGGTGATGATGAAGAAGGAGCATAAAGAAGGACAGGACAGAAGATAAAGATGAGGAGGCGGTGGTGGTGGCAAAGGAGGAGGAAGAGGAAGATATAGAGGTGGATGTTGGCAAACGAGGAGGGGTGAAGATAAGGAGGAGGTGGTGGTGACGAAGGAGGAGCATGAAGAAGATTAGGAAAAAAGAAGAAGATGGGGAGGAGGTTTTGGATAAAAAGATGATGCATATGGAGGAGGAAGAAGAGGAGGTGGTGGTGGACGGTGGCAAAGGAGAAGAGAAGAAGATAAGGAGGAGGAGCATGAAGAAGGACTGAAGGAAGAAGAGATGGGCATGAGGAGCATTAAGAAGGACTGAAGGAAGAAGAGATGGGCATGAGGTAGTGGATAAGGAGATGATGCATATGGAGGTGGAGGAAGAACTTAGAAGAAGATGAGGAGTTGGTGGTGAATGGTCATGGTGCTTTTACAATCTGAAAAGGGCTATAAATTAATTATAAATAAGTATAATAATTAAAAGAGTTAAGCTGTTATTTTGTAGCTGCTTATTTCCAATGATATCAACAATTTTTATAAAACTTCTCGTGCTGTGTAGTGTTATTTTATATGATCTATATCAAAGACGAGCAAGTTATAAATAACCATAATTAAATGAAGTAATCTAATGACTGGACGTCATCTTCCGGTAAACAAACCAACCAACAGCGAAATGGTGAAGATGCCGAAATTATTGCTCTTTAAACACTAACCGAAATGTATTATAAAACAATAGTAAACAAGCATAACATATCGTTGTATAACTGTCTGAGTGCAAACCTGATTCCGTCTGTCTGTGGCACCCGAAGAACTATTCTGACTCTCAGTTGCCGTTACTCCGTTTGTTGTCGCCATTTTCACTGTGTTGATAATTAATAGGTGTGGTTTCGTATGCAGAAGAGCTCTACTGGCCATATGGAGTCATTTGAATTATTGCGTCTTTGGATACGAACATTCTCGGGGTATCAATTATAATCATTATCATCATCCTGTTACACTGTGTGTCATAGGGTCACCAGTTTCTGTTGACTGTCTGGTCAGCTCTCTCCATCTTTGGTGGTCAGTTGCGATGGACTTCATGGTTGCATGCCTGAGGCCTGTTCAGTCAGTCAGGTGCTGTAACCAGGTCTTTCTTGGTCTGTCTCGTCTCCTCTTTCCCTCTACTGAGCCCTGCAGTATTGTTTTTGAGAGGCCGTTAGATCTTATTACATGTCCATACCATTGCATTTTCGACGTTTCACTGTAGTTAAAAGAGGTTCATAGTTGCCAATGTGCTGTATAATTTTATGGCGAACTTCCTCGTTTTTAATGTGGTCTCTGCATGATATGCCAAGAATTTTTCTGAAACATCGCATTTCTAATGCTTGTATCTTTCTTTCCAGTTAAACTGTTAAGGTTCACGTTTCACAGCCATATGTATAGCGTGTATATGAGGACACAAGTGAGGAGTATTGTCTAGATTGTTTCACCGGGGTACGCCGGTGTGTTGGGAAATGAACAGACAGACAGACTAGCTGGCTCTGCACAACTTGGTGGAATACTGATACATGACAGGGCAGACGTGGTTAGTGTGTTGTGGGAGAACGTGTACAGTTCGGAGAAGCAGATGGATCACCACAGTCTAGTGAGACTGATGCAGAGGGGTGTGACTAGAGGTTCTGGTAGATGCTCGAGGCTCAGAGGAAAGGCAAGACAGACGTTTAATCAGAAGGCTACTGGCACCATTAGTATCGGAACTCTTCGCTGGCTGCTGAAGATGAGGACAGAGCGCTTATGGGAATACCCCGAGTGCTATGATGTCGGTTCTTGAATCAAATCAATGTCAACTTCTTCTATAACATCGTCATAACTCTCCAAATCACTACTTCCGGCTTGAATTTCTTGCAACTCCATTTCGCGTAGAACCATTAGCACCAGGTTCTCACGTCAAGCAGTAAAGCTTTCGGCAACAAGTTTTTTTTTTTTATTTTAATTTTATTATAGACAGAAGATCTTCTTCTTAAAGTTCATGCCATGCGGCGTTGGTAGTCAAGTCTATCCAAAACCTTCTGTCTCGTGTACTTTCACTAAGTTCTAACACAGATGATCTTCCATGCCATGTGGCGTTGGTAGTCAAGTCTATCCAAAACCTTCTGTCTCGTGTACTTTCACTAAGTTCTAACACAGATGATCTTCCATGCCATGATATCAAACTATTCAGCATCTCGTCTCTGGGCTCCCTTTGCCTCTTTTCCCCTCCATCTTTCTCACTGTCACTATGTACTCATGGTTTCTTTTTTTCATGATACATCCAAAGAATGTAGACTGTCTCTTTCTGATGTGGGCAATCAGTTCTATTCGTGGGTCAGTTCCTTACAAGACATCATCATTACTCTTGTTATCTGTCCTGGGTATTCTCATAATTTATCAATAAAACCACATCTCCGCAGCTTCCAAATAATTGTTCCCCAACCCAGCAACTATTTATGATTTTACTTCCTTATATCAGAATAAGAATTCTCTTTCTCATTTGAGTTGATACGTAGTCAAGCAAGTCCATTGCAGTATTTACCTCATTGATAAATGCTGCGCATGATGTGGCTTCTATCTAGTTAAAACAGCGAAGGCGCCATTCACCTTTTTAATGGTTTTCCCCCTTGAGCTCATCCTGAATGTCTCCGCACTTCACTTGCCCCAAATAACCGACCAGACTGTGTAAACTACAGCATAATCTTTATCTGTGTTTTCCGTGGGGTTTACAAATAACCATTCACACATTGAGACTATTATTTTATCGGTCATGACGTGTCTCCACCTTGTAGTGGTAGAGGGACTTGTATGTACCAGGGATCCTAAGAGCTATGTGACGGCAGCTTAGTTACTGGTAGGGTTTCCTATGTTGGGCGGGTCAAGGGTGAGGAAACAAAGAGAAACACATCTTTCTAGGGAAATAGACCAAGTAAAGTAAAGTAAAGGTCCTTTTTCCAAGCCTTGAAGCATTTGGGTTAGACCTATTTTTGCATAGACCAATCGGCACAAGATGGGTGATGTGGTCAGCATCACGCCGGCCGCCTTTACTTCCCGTAACTGCACCCGGTACCCACTCAAGGCTGGGTCGACTTAGGAGTCAAGGTCATTTTTGAAAAAAGTCCGGCTCCACCAGGGAGCGATCGAACGACCTTTCGACCGCATGCAAGCGTCTAACCGCTACGCCACAGCGACTCTAGGAATAGACTATTCCCGGCTTAAATAACAAACTAGAAGCTTAACCAAGTTTCTACTCTATAAAATTGTGTAATAACTTGCATTCCTGACAGGAGACATTCTCCACAAAGTGATCGCATTGTAGATCAATTTACAGGCCCCCATCACAGACCACTGAAACTTCTAAATATGAGTTATATCCCACAGGAGTGAAAAATGATTGCCTCATCGGAATTACAAACGAACTGATTGGGATAAGTTTGGTATTGCTCACACACAAATATTGTAAAAACACAACACACACAAAAAACAACATTGCAACATGAAAACAAAAGTGGCAAGTCTAAACAAAGCCATTTTGCAGGTAACCTATGAATGCGTTCCAAGAGGTGCAAGGAAACATTACAAACCATTCTGTACTAACGAGGTACAGGTTCTGTAGGAGAAAAGTCGAAGAGGCCAGGAAGACAGGAGAGAGAGAGAGAGAGAGAGAGAGAGAGAGAGAGAGAGAGAGAGAGAGAGAGAGAGAGAGAGAGAGAACAAACTTTGTATTCAAAGGGTTACAGATTGGGCTCGTAGACCCGTCTTACATTCGGCCCTTTTTAGCACTCATCTTACATAGCACTATTGACTGTTATGTTTATATTAAAAAGAAAAACATTATAGAATAATGCATACACACATCATGTTTACACAGTCATACACACATACTTTTACATACACACTCATATATACATATACAAAACATACATACGCGCACACACATACATAAATGCACACTTTCATAACTTCATACACCCACATGCATACATACATGAATGCATGCATACATACATACACACACACACACAGACAGACATCTAACAGGGAGACGTAATTACCTGTTTGTTAGGAGGTAGTATATTGCGTATTAGCTTATGAGAGGAAAATCAACAGGTCTTAGCAACAATAATTTGTAAATAGTATTTGACGTCATTGTTGACGTGCCCTTTCAAAGAGAACATAATAGCACTTGTTTTGTAGGAGTCTATTGACGTCAGATGTCAATTTAATTATTATATTTTCGCAGAATAAGATGATGAAATCTGATGCCATTGAGACTTAATGAGAAAATTCCAGGTGAGAACTCACATAGTAAATATGTTGAAACGTAATAGAATATTATAGAAGCAGAAAAAGTGAGAAGAAAACAAATAACTAGCATTCCAACATCCAAGTATAAATAATGAGTAACAAAGCACTTTAGCAGCTTTCAGTCTACAAGACTTAGAAAGTAGAGGGACTAGTAATATGATGACTGTCTCGTTCTGATGTCTGTGACAAGTTGTCTTCGGGCTCCCGCCTCTTTCAAAACCTCTTGGTTGCTCTTTTTGGCTGTCCAAGGTATTCTAAGCATTTTTCTGTAAAACCACATCTCTGAGGCCTCTAAAAATTATTTGGCCTGCCTACCGATTGTCCAGGATTCACAGCCATATGTTAAAACTGGATGTATGTAGCAAGCAAGAATTCTTTTTCTAACTCTCAATGACAAGGATATATTGCACAAGATGTTTTTCATTTTATAAAATGCAGTTTTTGCCTGTCCAATTCTGTTTCTTATTTCAGTTATGCATCTTCCATCTGTTGTTATCCATGTGTCCAGATACTTAAATTTCTGTACTTGTCCTAAAATAACACCATTGACTTTTATTACACATTTAGGAATAATTTGTTTCTTTGATACCACCATTACTTCTGTCTTCCCATTATTCAAACTGAGGCCCATTCTTCAACTTTTTAACACCACAATGTTTATCATTTCCTGTAATTCTTTCTGACTTGTTGCTATCAAGACTGTGTCATCAGCATAACGTAAATTGTTTATATTGTGCCCACCAACCACAATTCCGGGCATATTAATTAAAGATCTCATTATATATTCACTGTATATTGAAAACAAATCAGGTGAAAGTACACATCCTTGTCGTACGCCCCTCTTTATGTTTTGAAATGTACCTAAACAGTTGTTAATTCTTATAGCGGCTGTTTGCTGCCAATACATATTCTTTATTATTCTTAGATCTTTCCCATCAATGTTTAATTTTTCTAACAGTTTGATTACTTCTTCATGCTTCACACAGTCAAATGCTTTTGTATAGTCTATGAAGCATAAGTAAAAATCAATCTTTACTTCTATAGCTCTTTCTGACAATGTCCTTAGGATGTATATGGCATTGTTTGTACTTTTTCCTTCTACAAATCTACAATGTTCATCGCTGATTTCTGGTTTAATTTTGTTTCTTCTTCTTCTCATAATTATTTTCAGTAAATTCTTAGTCATGTGACTCATAAGACTTATTGTGCAATGGTCTTCACATTTTAAAGTGCCTGGTTTCTTAGGCAGAGCTATAAATATGGATTTTAAAAGGTCATTTGGAATATACCCACTATTATAAATATCATTTAAAGGTTTAGTTATTATTTTAATTCCAAAATCTCCCAGTGCTTCGATTTCTTCCGGTGAGATGTTGTCTGGCCCGGGTGCTTTTCCTTTCTTCATATGATGTATTGCATCCTCAACTTCTGCAGCCATTATTGGTGGACTATCATTGTTGGTCTGCAGTTCTACGCCATAAATCCATACTGCTCTTCACTCATTTCCATTCTTATTTTTCTTTTTGTTCTTCTCATTT